TTCTGGAACTTTCCCATCCATTTGATATAAATACACGAATGTACAGCCTAGATGATGACTTCGTCGAAAAGAAAATTTTCTTCGCTGCAATTTTCACAAATTTATCAGTAAAGGCTGGATTTTTTTCACATGTTAAACAGTTTTGGCGAATATGTCACTCATTTTCTCAATTATTTATAAATTAATAATTTCCGTAGAATGTTTAACATCTTTCAGTAAATGCATTACAATACAAAAGCTTAGATTACCACATTCATTTATATGTAAATAATAAGTCACCTTATTTCCAAGAGCTCTTTCTCGTAAATTTGCAGAGAGTTTTCTAAAACATTGTTGTACTGTTTCCAAGCATTGCATCCATATTCGGCCATTAATTCGAGATTTTCAATTCTTGTTGCTTGATGTTCTAACTGTGCCTATTTGAAGAGTCACTTAACAATATAAAATACATTACTTCAGCATTCTCCATTGCGTCTTGCCAAGCTTTCACGTCGGTCATTTTTCCAGCAGGCGGCGGCGGCAACTCGTAACGTTTCATACTTAACATTTCCATTGGTAGACGGTTGGAGAGCCTGTCAAACTCAGCTTTCATCACCTCAGTTTCGAACTTCATTTGAATCGGTCCACATAAAGAGGGAAGATGTTCCAAATAGTTTTTTGTCGGCCTGTATCGTTTCATCTCCTCTTCGACTAGAAGAGCTGCAGCTTCTCTTATTCCAGGATCATCATATCCTTTATCGAAGTATGGAAGCGCGTCAACAACTCCTAAGTGTTCGGACGTCATCTAATGGAAACCTGATAAAGATTTCATGAAACAAAAATGAGTTAACCAATAAGGAATATATTAACCAATATTTTCAATTGAAGATTATGAAATCAAACAAAAACAATTCTTGTGACCATATACGCAAAAGTTTATAAATTTTTTCTGTTTACGTTGAATATTAATCAGATGCCAGGTCTCGAAACCAGTTGGTGAGTGTCGACTCTAAGTAAACTTATTATTCCTTCATCTTTTTTACCCGCTGCTAACAGTTAAATGTGACACGATATCATATTGCTTTGCTATATGCGTATTACGAATGTCAGTACATCAATAGAACAAGTTATAACATTAGCTATTGTACAGATGAAATAAATTATAAGGTAATGCAAAAATATGTATGAATGTGTCAGTAAAACTGACCGGCTATACCGAGTATTCAATCATAAATCTGTCCCCCGTGTCCTAGCCGAAGAAATTAAACTTTGCAGACAAGTACTATTATTTACTGATGTTACTAATTACTGCGAAATCTGGAAGTTTATGTGTCAAGATTCCCTCGCATATGCCAGTTTAATAACTTCTATTGATGTATTACTCCCACAGCATTTAAACACTGGAAATTCCTGGATTTCATTACACAGATACAGAAACTTAAGGTATAATTTGATTTGGCTAAGCAAGACAAGCTTTCATTACTCTTAAGTCTGTGTGGAGGTCAACAGCACTCAGTATAAAAACGAATATAAGATCCGGATTTTCAACTCCAATGTGAAGTCAGTGCTACTCACTATACGGATCAGAGACTTGCACTGCGCCTCATAAAGACCATCTCAAACAAAATTCAGAACTTCATTAACAGTTGTCTTCGCTCAATACTCAAGATCAGATGGCCGGTCAGAAAAGATCAGCAACAGAGATCTCTGGGAGCGAATCAACTCAGCAGGAACCGATTGTGAAACAAATAGGCATAAAGAAATGGAGATGGACTGGCCATAGGCTGAGAAAACCATCAAGTGACATCACTAGACAAGCCATCGCCCGAGTGTAACCCGAAAGGGAAGCGGCGAGTTGGTCGTCAATGCAAGGGTGACTTGGAGGAGGTTATGTGAAGAGGAGATGAGAGCATGTGGGCAGACTTGGAGCGGGGTGAAAAAGTTGGCAGAAAACCGAAGGCAATTGAGATGCGCAGCTGAAGCCCTATGTTCCTCTAAGAATTAAAGGATATAATAATAATAATAAATATAATAATAATACCTACAACTCTAAATGGTCGTTGAAGGGCGTAAATAAGACAGAGAGAGAGAGAGAGTATAACCTAACTTTACCCAATGACTAGTTTCATCAGGCTTGCTTAGGAGCTGGAATGAGTTTTTAGTCTAACTAGACTGAATTTGACCTTTATAACGCCTTACTTCAGAGCTTAACTAACATAATCCAAAAACCAGCACAATGTTCCAGAGTGATAATATATTTTGGAGGAGAACGAATACAAAATAAAACCCTAGTGAAAAAATGTGCTTATATGAACAGAAGAATACAGCGACTACTGATGCAGATGAGTGATAACTGAAGCTCTTATAAGTGCTGCTGTTTCATGTGATAACATATTTGCGGATATGGTGTGATGACTATTTTGAGGCCCAAACAACGATAACCCCATTCATTTATAATTAAATCACAAAGAAAAACATTCGAAAAATAGATTTAGGCAGATTTTGATTGGCTAGCTGGCTTCCTATTGGTCTAAAATATAAGTTAAAGCTGCAATCTTTTTATTTTGACTCGGAAATTTACAGTCAGTATAATTTAAGGCTTACCTTACCATTATATAATGGCGTGTTAATTTCTTTGGTGTGAGTGTAGTGTGACAGTCAGACGCTATTTGGATGCATTGGTGGTGTTTAAATTACACTAAGATGTATGAGAATGTCTAGTAAGTGAATATAAATCAACAATAATTTCGATGCATTCACTTTAAGTCCAAAATAGGATGTATGGATTTTTGATTACTAGGCGAATATAATTTAACTACAATTTCTAAAAATTTAATTTGTCCTTAATTAGTACATATAGACAAATGTATGTATTAACTAATCTACTTTTTTAAGTTTTCAATTCAATGACCTGTGGGATTTGTGCATACTAGGTCAGCATAAATCAAATGGCTGAGACCGACAGTTCAAAGCATACTTTGGTTGATTGTTTCGTGATGAGAGAGATTTGGAGTCAGTTATAAATTACACCGATCTGTGTCTTATTCATACGCTTTTCACCTGAGGATTTCCGGTTCATAGCATATCCCGAATAACAATGATTAATACGATTTATCACTTAGACCGCAGCACCACCAAGCTTAAAACAATTCTAAAATTTATCCTAACCTATTACTCAATAATGCCTTTTTATGGTAACTGAAGATCATATTTACCCACTATGTTCTGAAATGAAACAGGTCGTGCTTAAAAAGACAGTTGCGTGCTGAATCAAAACTTCCCACTCTGTAAGAATGCTAGTCCATGCTGTGAAACTGTCACACAATGGCAAAACAGTAAGGGAGTTTACTGTTACTATTACTACCATAGTATATGTTACTGAATTAGCATAGTATAATTTGATTAGCTCAATGATTGCAGGTTTACCATAATCCTTGACTACCAACATAATAACTGGGAACTTCATGCTAAAAATAAGCTAGATAGTAGCATCCAGTGACAAAAACTGATCTACACACTGCAAATGACAAAACATCCAGAAAAACTTTTAAAATTCAATGGGAAACGAATTCACGAAAACATATAACTAGCCGACGCAGGAATTCGTCATGACCTAGAAACTGACTATAGCCTCTCTCCTCTTTCAACCACCGTAGTGTAAACTTTGGAGTCTTGCGCTGCGTTTCGATTTTCAATTACTTCCAGCAAAAACCGTTATGGCAAATGATTCTATCATGTATGTTAAGGATTTCAACTTTTTTCCGAAATTCTATCAGAAAAATCTGATTTGGAAATAATTCTTGCATATTTTTGCAGAACGTGGTGTATTATGCTAATGAATGTGAACACGCAAGGCCTGCTGTAGCCACACTGAAACACTGGTTAATACTAATGAAACTGCGGACTGTTACCTTCATAATATCGTTGATAACCTAATATTCCCTCTGGAATGTCGCCTACGTCAGTCAAGAATTCGATTTTTCTCTGTCAGCCGTATAGTTATCCATGCTCTATGTCGTGATTGGTATTTCTTTTGGTAGGATATGGTGGTTGAAACAATTTGTAGAACTTGTAATACTTGTGGCAATCCGGGTTCTACATCTTATTTTCACGCGCAAAGATCAGGAATTTAGGGATAGTTAACCAAATTATTTGCTAGGTTGTACAAACAATTCAGTAGATTCACAGTTCTGCAAGCAATGTAAGTACTAGGACCTTTAGAAATGAACCACCTGTGTCTGTAAATGCAGCGAAGTTAACAAGTAACCCCAAAATGATTTCGAGGAAGGTGTCGATACTTCCCCAGATGCATCAAATACAAATCGAAGGGATTTCACATTAGCCTATTAAAATTGATGATCCCCACAATATTTCTTAACCCGTGGTTGTGTTTCCGTTAGTGCATTTAAGACATCGCTCAAACTGATGGCAACACCCTGGAAACTGGACGTTACTATATAAGCCAGCTGTTTGAAAACAGTTAGAGCAGTCTGAATTTTAATTGTAGATCTGGAGTATTGTAGCAGACTTCCATGAGCAGTATTGTTCTGATGTTTACAAGTTTCTGGGACTGGTGCGATTTGGAGACATGTGTTACCAAGTGATTATATACCAAATTAACAGCTAAGCTTAGTGCATGCCGCAACTAGAAACAACAAGTATGTTTGTTGTATTCAAGTCTGTCCTAGGCATTATTTATTTGACTGGCTGAGTCCCCAGCCTTTGACACTGATCAAGCTCCCTCTCAACCACCACAAATAGTAGGAGAAGAATACAATACTAATGTATGTTTTGTATTGGATTATTATGAAGGAACAAACTGAGATCATAAGAATGTTAAGTTCAGTACAGCGCAACAACCAAACTCTGGGTCCTTGAAGACACCTTTTAAGTTAAGGGATCTGTGGCGGTATATAATTACCCAAAATTATCGGCTACAGCATTCATCAGTGAACATTGGTTGCTGACTCCCACTGTTTAAGTCAACATCTCTAGTCAGTTAGGCACTCCGATTTGGTTCCGAAATATAACTCGTAATATGGACGATCAATTTTGGTTTTTTGCTTTAGTGTACGCGAAGCGAATACTATGGAAGTTGTGGGTGTTAGATCTTGCGTTAGCTAGCTTCGTACTGTCTGTGAACGTCAATACTTTCGGCCTTTAAAGACCTACCAGTGCTGGTGAATACTGAGTGGACGCTCATTAAACTTGTTTATTCGAACCATAACCCATGTAGTGGCTTAGACGCTTGCTTGTCAGTAGAAGACAGGAGCAATCCTATCAGGGAAGCGATTGGAAGTCGGTATGGTTTGCCTATTTCCTGACTGTGTTAAAGTCTGACTGAAATCCCCCAAATTCACCCACATTAGTTATAAATTCACCATATGTATTCATCACAGGACTCAGACAATGATAATGAATACGTGATACAACGGATTCATAAATTCAACTGAGGTTAAATGTATCTGTCCACAGCAATAATTTGTTTACCCTCACGGACTAAAACCTCAGAAGCATAAACACACATAACTTATTTTCGGAGTTTTGAGCTCATGGCAGCTTCATTGAGATAAGTCAGCTAATTTCAGTTAATTCTCAGTAGTATTCTTCGTCGAGAAAAGACCACTGAGCATGCGTATGTGTAATATTCTAGCTCTATTAGTTGGACGGTAGAAGCAGCACTACGGCTATCAGATTAGTTTAGGCTAGTTTAGGGAACCAGCTGGATATGTGAGCAAAATGTAAAGCTCAAGCTATTTCAAGTAAAATGAGTAAATGCATTTCTAGGGTGAACTTTTTTTCGCAGCCTGACTGACTAACGGATGGGTATTCAGTGTTTGTGCTATATAATCGCGCTTGACAGTCTGTCGGTCTGGGCCGCAGTTTCAAACGGCAATTCAAAAGTCACCGTCAGTGTCACTTATAACAACAGAGATTTTACGACTATAACTTAGAGAATCCAAATATGCTTTCCTTATAAAGCATCGGTGGCACAGTGGTTAGGACTCTCGCCGACCATGCACATGGTCCGAGGTTCGATCCCTTACCGACGCACATCTGATATCTATGGTGGGCCTGCAAAATTTGGGCTACCGATATCAAATGTACCAAAAAATACAGTGTGGAATCAAGCTGTAATTAAAATTGAAAAAATAAAATAAGTAATTTTGCTTGGTGGTGATTAGTAGCAGGATCCAGGAGACTCATATAATATTACCTGAGACTCGTTAGCTGAATGTACATGTATTCCTAGGGAGTGAATATGGTGTTAATATGAGGTTTAAACCCTGTACCAACCATTTTATATGACTGAGGATTTTTCAGTAGGCCACAAGAGCCATCTGTTAACGGACGTGTGCCAGTAATTACTCACTTCTTGCTTAATTTTGGCATTTCCCGTTGATTGGTTATATTGGACCGAAATCCTCGGTTTCTGTTGACCTTTCGGCTCCCAGTACCGTTTCTTTTAGGGCTTCAAAATATTTACATGAATGAACGAACTGGAATTCAGATGAAAACTTAATTCAACTTACATGTCCAATTATTTCGTTTTATTGCATCAGTGGACTAAAGACTTATAGTGAGCGTCAAATACAGAGTTACTTCAAATTATGTCGATGTTGATGTATGTTGACTTCAGTGTTCATATCGCCTAGGTGTTAGCCTTTAGAATTAACTCTGTACAGAATCATATAAGAAGTCTACTATGCGAGGAAGCAATTCGCTACCAGCTTGTATTTGTAAACACAATTCTTAGCCGGAGAGACGATGATTCAGTTAAAACGATCGATTCACAGAAAGTTTACTCGTAAAGGGCAATACTCAAATTTTCACAGCTTCAGTCGACCACAGTATACGAGAGGCTTTGTGAAGTGTGGATTCAAAAGGATCCAGCCTGTCTCGATAGTTGATTTTATAGATGAAAATAAAAGACAGATGGATACTCTTGTTGAAAACGGACGGGCATCATTTGATATCGGTATACAGGTAGGTGTAGACATCATTCGGTCTTAAAACCTGCAATCTATTCCGCCCCTAAGAAAGATGTCTTCATCGACTCACCACACAATGGCGAAACAAATAATCGCATTTTGAGACAGAGATTGAACTCGGTCATCCGTAGGACCGATTATGCATCCCAGCTTGTAATCATTGAAAAAGACAAAAGGATGCTCCATCGTAAACATCAGAAGTGAACGAGTGAGTATGTCACTTCACTCCTCACGATTTACCAATTTACGTGTGTGTGTGTGTGGAAACACACGCATGGGCAGGATGAATGGCGCTTTGCATGTGAGAGTGGGAGAGCATATTCCGGAATGGCGAGGAAGACAGATGAACTTTGTGAAACTCGATGGAAGTGAGTGGTAGCCTATCGACGTGAATCATAATACTGATGTTGGCACAGGTATTAATGTCATTTGTGGAAGTGGTCAAGGGAGCCTATTGAAATACACTGAGGGCATAACTATTCATAGACTTGAGCCCCTCTCCTGTGTGTTCAAAATCAATTGGTTATTGCTCTCAACACACCTTGGTAATCCTTATCTGATTGGATAGCCAAACGTTGTGTTAATTATTCTTATTATTCTTAAGTGTGTTTTGTCACTTTGTGTACTTCAATCAGCCTTTATGTTTCCATATAAACTGACTAGACAAGTAAATGTGTGTGTATGTGTGTGTGTGATCAGACTGTTCGAAGTGTATTGGTCGAATACATCACACTGTTTTTCGGATAATCTCCGTCTTCTAATAAAACCATGGAAAGTTTCTTCGCTGTTGACTTCTGTTTTTTACGTAATGGAATATATCTTTAATTGTGGAGGCTGATGAGATGTGCTCAGTGGTGTGGGAGAAATATGATTACTACAAAATTCCTACAAAGAGAGGAGGCACAACGAATATATTTTCGAGGACAAGTGTAATGATGAAAGTGAAGAGGTTGAATTGTGAACTGTATTCAAATACTGGAGACATGATATTCTTGGTGTATATCACGAAGGCTTTTTTTATTTATTTTTAGTTTTATTTTTTAAATTTTATTACAGCTTGATTCCACACTGTATTTTCGGTACAAGTATGAAATTTTCAGCATGGATATGGGTAGCCAAAATTTTGCAGGCCGACCATTGATATCAGGTGTCCGTCAGCAGGGGGTCGAACCTCGGACCATGTGCATGGTTGGCGAGAGTCCTAACCACTGTTCCACAACGACACATATTTAAGACAATATTGGAGTGAAGTGAACTGGGTGAAAATGAATAAGGAAGGCCGCTAGAACCCAAATCAATGGGCAATGAATTCTCACTTTTGCCAATGCTTGAAAACGCATATTGTGTCCCTGATGGCCTTGTAGTAAGCTGGTGTAAACAAAGAGTATGAATGTGCTGTTTCGCAGACATTGGTCAGGTTTCTTCCTAGTCATCCGTACAGCCTATTCTATGTCTATGTCGGGTATGCCTACGCCATATACAACCGTAAGTGACTCATTTATTTTGATGGCGGCCTGTTTTGGAATGGCGGCCTGTTTGACATCTGGGTTACCTTTTTCCTGCATCTACATATTGCATCTAATAAGTCATGTTTTCATTCCTAATTTTAATAAAATATGATCACAAATCGCATAAAATACAGTAATTCATTCATTAAACGTTTAAACCATATGACTTTCATGCATCTAATAAATCTAAGAGAAAACATCACGCTGGCTGGCAGCGTGCACTTAAACAGACACCTTTATATCGTACAACCATTCCTGTTATTGTCACTTCAAACTGCCGTTACTTCCCAA